AATAAATTTGTTACCGCAAGATGTATTGGCAGCCGCAGATCGTTTGATTCGTATAAGCAACGTGCGACTTGAAGGATACGATCTGGTATGATTATAAGTTCATTTCATACAGCATCAGACCGAAAAAGGCTTAGCTGACCGTATTACTACAGAGTCAACAAGGCTAAATAATAGGTCTATAGGCAAAGGGAGCCAAGTGACGTGCCAACGCTACTAATTGAGTGCCAACACGTAGCCATTATTTCGAGAAAAAAAAGTGGAGAATGGGCATTTCCTAGAGACAGCGTGTGTGTGTATAGAGAAAGAGTTTGTTTCAAATGCAACCCATCGCATTTGTACAACCAATGCAACCTAATAAATTGAATATTTATGGAAATAATGAGAGTTCATTTATTATGATTTAAATATTTATGGAAGATTAATAAAGTTCATTAATTATGATCAATACTTTATATTAAAAAACAATCAAAACTTCTATAAAATTACATATTTATCAAATTAAATAAACGGTTGAGATTTACTTGTATTGGTTGTACAAATGTAAGTGGTTGTATAATAACACCCCCCCCCACACACACACACACACAYAYATATATATATATATATATATATATATAAGAGCGATCAAATGCAAATCACCCAATTTGTACAAACCGTGCAAACTACCCTCATCCGACGATTTCATTATTTAATCTTATGAAATTTTTGAATGAAAATGTTTAATCGTGTGAAATTGTTTCATATAATACTTTTTTTTGATGAAGTTGTTTCATATATGGTTATGAAATTGTTTCATATAATACTTAATGCAATTTTAATGAAACTGTTTCATGTATTTCTCTAGAATTAAAATAATAAAGATGATATATCCATGATTAACACCCTTTATAATAACAATGATTAATCAATCTTTCATAATTACAAAAAATGAACAAAATAAAAAATTATGATTGGTTGAATGAGTTTTGTACAGTTTGTACAAATAATGTGGTTTGCAAAGTAAAACTTCTCTCTTTATATATATATATATATATATATATATATATATATATATATATTACATTTTTTTATTGTAGCTTTATCAAATAATGGTGTTACCATAAATATAGGATGGTGGGCATTTATATATAAGTTCTCAAATTCTATCAAGACATCATTATTTATCATAAATTTATAGCGACTTACCTATTTATAATCATCCTTAAACGTTATAATGATGTTGCTCTAAATAGTGAAACTCATTTTTCTATTCGTCATTATTAGTTAGAAAAATATGTTTTAGCTAATATGATTATATATGAGAGTTTTAAATGTAATTAATGAATTTTTTTGAGTTATATAAAAGGGAAAAATAACACTAAATATTCAATTAGTTAAATTATATAAAAAATATATATATACTAACGATATTTTGTTTGGTGATTAACCTGGATATCCAACCCGCTATGCGAGCCGACTAATCCCAGAACGACCACCTGCTTTGCAGATAGCCCAGAGTCACCGCATTTAAACATCCGTTGGCCACAAGAAGATTTTTATTCCTCTTTGAATTTAAATCTGAGACCTCCTGGTAATTTTGACCTTTGGAGCTCAAACTAATTAAGCATCACCTTTGTGGTTACTAACAATATTTTGTTTGGTGAGAAATAGTATTGTTGATTAAAAATAAAAATTTGTTCGTCTATGCGAAAAATTACACATTTGATACAAAAATAGCACTTGGAGATGCATTTAAATGGGTTTTTTTTGGTTTTCTGGAAAATAGAAAATAGAATTCGGTATTAAATTATGTCAAGAAAAAAGTCATGTTATTGTTTGTGTCTCAAATTTTTTAAACATCTTTCCTTAAAAACTGAACAATTACTATCTTATCCATTGTTATTATCTGTAACGATAAGATACATACAAATAGATAAATACAAAAAACCATTCATCCTAGACAACTTTTTGTCACAAATATGCAACCATTCCATGCCAAAATTTAATAATTATCGATTAGAACAAGAACAACTGTTATTTATCATGATGATACGAATAACTGATTTGTAAAAGGTATATACTTTATTTCTTTTATCAGCTTCTTTTTGTAATGTTTGACGAATTGCATAAAACATTTATTATATTAAAGTGCAATCTTCAGTTTGGTCGCATAATGTTGCAAGACAAAATATTGAAAATGACATAACAAATATATGATTTAGTTCAATAAATGAACAAAGAAAACAAGTTATGATGAGAATTTAACATGGAACTATATCTATATATCTATATACATATTTACATCCTATGTAAGAGCGAAGAACCACATGATAATGGATACAAATATATCAAAATGAATGTCAAATTAAAGATAATAAAGTGATTAGTTTTTTAGTTTAATTTGTTTCGTTCCAATTTTTATTTTCACAGATTAATTGTCGGTTTGTGTGACACCCCAAAAATGGGGTAAATAAATGATTATGAAGAGAAAAGAAAAGAAAAGAAAAGAAAAGAAAAATATGGTGGATTTGTTTGGGCCAAAAATGGAAAAAGGGAAAGAATAAGGTGAATAGTTGCTAAGTCTAACAAGTGAGAAACCAATGGTTGTATTGTATCTAGTCAAAGCTAGAGGGGGCTTTTTGTCAATCAGGCAAACTTTTGAAATTTTGAATAAATTGTAACCGTTGAATTTAGTGATTATTTATGGATAATCATATCAATCTAATGAGGATTAATGATAATTAAATCCCTTCCGTTTTATAAGAATTTTGGGCTATAAATACGTTGAAAGGTGTAGAACCAAACTCATTTTGACAAATTGAATTTGGAACGAGAGAGGCAGAGACATCGGGTGGAAGTAAGATAAGCTTTCAGCATTTCGTTATTTTAAGGTAGTTTTTGTAAACTTATTCTTGAACTTAATTTCATGAGTATATTTAGTAATTCATGTTTCATGTTCATGTTAAGTTTGAGATTTGTGGATAACCGGAAGATTTTCATTTTGATCAGAAAGTTTAGTTTAAAAAAAACTTTAATTAAAACGATACTTTATACTCGTTTTTGGGAGGGATTTTAGTTCATTACATTATGATTTTAAGCTTAAGATCGTGTTATATTATGATGGGTTATTTTACAAAAAGAATCATTAAAAAGGGTTAAAAAATGGTGGAAAACGGGAAAAAACGTAAAAAGGAAAAATTACGTTTTTCCACGGTCAATGGGAGCCTGGGAGGTGACGAATGACTGTCAAGGGTTGACTGAAAATTAAGAGGTTACGTATATTTTAATGATTGGGTTTAGATTTATTCGGTTCAATTAAATATTTCAAATCTATTAGATTTTAAATATATTCAAAAATATGTTTTGCTTGAGATTTTTAAATTTGTTGGGTTTAACCATTTTAAATGTGAACCTTATTGCATATAAATTTTGGGTCTTATTAATTGAGAAATTTGTAGTTATAATTAATTAATTAATTAAATTTAAATTTAATTAATATATTAATTTATTTTTGACAATTAAATTATTTGATTAATTATTTCCTAAGGGTTTATTGAATTGTTTAATTTATATTAACTGGTTTAATAATTTGAAAGTGACGTAAATAAGGGTTTATACGTAGTTGAAGAATCTTTAGTGAAAATAACGAGTTTATATAATTATAGGGATTCATTATACACAGTACATATATCAGGTTGATTTTAGGAGGTTAAGTCATTTTTTTTTACCAGCAAAGAAAGGCGAAATATCATAAAAAGAGTAGCAAGACGCTAGCAAAGAGAGAATACAGGCAAAAAACAAGACATGGAGGAATTACACCACTCTATCCAACTATTCACCAAAATACCTTTCGGCACCCTATTTTTAAACCATAAAAAAGAATACACCAGAAGCTGGCCTGCGAGAAAAGTAGCCGAATTCAGAGAGGGAGCTAGGAAAATTTTACGGTTCCGCAAGTTCCAGATAATCCAGAAGAACCCGTACACCACTCCGATAAACGCCTTTTTACACATGGAAGTCCCAGCCACCTCCGAGCTACATCAAGAAGATTGTCGATCGAATTCACTTGTCCTATATCCACTTTCGACCATATGCACATGTCCTTGAGTAATTTCTGTGATATCGAGCATCCTATGAACAAGTGTTCCTCGTCTTCTTCGGTACATTCACACAGAGGGCACAAAGAGGAGAGGCAAACTACACCTCTTTTTAAGAGATTATTTTTAGTCGGAAGCCTTTTGTGAAGCAGACGCCAAGCTAAAATGTTAATTTTTGTGGGAACCCAATTGACCCACCAAGAGGTTCGGAAACTAACCTGGTCTAGCGAACGGTCATCGTAAGCGGCTCTCGTCGAGGAGACCGAGAAGGTAACGTGAGGATCTAGAGCCCATCGCCATGAAAAGTCGATCCCGTTTGACCTTTGTTCTCTTAGAAACCAGTTTGCGAAAGGAAGATTGAGTTTATTGAATTTCTTGTGGATTTTTAAGATGTTCCTCCAGATCCCCTGGAATCTGCTACATCTGGCCAGGTTATTCAAACCTCCATCCTCTCCGTGTAGAGCAGTGATAACCCGTCGCCAAATGTGATTATGCTCAGTTTTGAATCGCCACCACCATCTTACGAGAAGTGCTAGATTGAGAGCTCTTAGACTACCGATCCCCAGACCGCCAGCATCTTTATCCGCCATTGTGGTACTCCAACTGATCCATGAAATCTTTCTCACTCCTCCTTTATCACCCCAGAAGAACCTCGAGCGAATTGATTCAAGTTTATTGATGATCAAAATAGGGGCCTTGAGAAGCGAGATGAAATGCAGTCCCAGGCTTCCTAAAATAGATTTGACCATGACAAGACGACCACCATGAGAAAGGATTTTGGATTTCCAGGCAGATAATTTTTTGTTAAAATTTTCAACCAGAGGCGCCCAAGATTCAGCTTTATTAGAGCGACCACCAATCGGCAAACCAGGTATGTAAAAGGCAAAATCCCGGGTCTGCAATGTAATCTACTAGCGACAGAAACTACTTCATCATAGTCAGCCCCACGCCCATTATATTACTCTTCTGCATATTCACCTTTAACCCTGAAGACAATTGTAAGCATCGCAACAACCGAACCAAATTAGTAGCATTCGATCTCGACCATTCACCCATGATCAAGACATCATCAGCAAATTGCAAAATCGATAATTCAGGCCCGGAGTTAGGAAGTTTGATACCACTGAAAATACCTTTCCGAGAGGCTTCCGACATAATGATATTGAGAGTTTCGGCAGCGAGTATGAAAAGGAGTGGGGCCAGGGGATCTCCTTGCCTTACACCCCTTCTTAGAGGGAATTCGCGAGTCGGGCATCCATTGATGAGGACCGCTACCGATGCCGAACTGAGGCACCCTTTGATCCACGCTCTCCATTTCGCGCCAAACCGCATTCCCCTTAGAACATCCTCCAGAAAATCCCAAGACAAGGTATCAAAAGCTTTTTCGAAGTCAATTTTAAAAATCAAGGATTTGCGATTAGTTTTTTTTGCCCAAGATATTATCTCGCTGACGATAATGGGTCCATCTAAAATACTCCTTCCCTTGATGAAGGCAGATTGTTCGTGCACGACAACCGAATCAATGACCATGCTCAATCGAGACGCCAAGATCTTAGCAATAATCTTATAAAAACAATTTATCAAGCTAATGGGCCGGTACTCCGAAAAAGAACACGGAGATTCGGATTTGGGTATAAGCATGATGAAGGAGGCGTTTAATATTATGGTTTGAAATTATAGGTTATCAATTGAGTGTTGATTTTATTTGACCTACACGCGCAGGTGAATTTTCATGAGACTTTTACTGTAATGCATGCTTATATATAAGTTATTTGAGCATGATAATTATTTGGGATGCATATGTTTATGAAATATTACTTTTACGTACATTGAAAATGGAACTAACGAGCAATCAAACAAACTAAAGTGTTGACGTTATAGTACTTAATAAAGCGTACATGTTATGGGTTTGATGCATGCATGTAATTTATGTTGTGATTTGCATGCTAATTGTTTATATTTAGCATGCCATAAAAAGTTTTTATTACAAGTTTAGTAAATCAGGTTAGATTTGGTTTGACATGTCATAAGTCGTAAACCCAGGGAACGCCAATGACATAAAACCTTTACCCGATGGGACAATTTTTTTTGTACTTATTTCAAAGGGGTGTTGAAACAGATATACATGTTATTCGGGTATTTGTTTGCTATTATGCATAATGGGATATGTATGATTTGTGCAAGAAAACCATGAACTCACTGAACTTTATAAAACTCACTATTAGTATGCATCTGAGAGGCACGAAGTTCAAAGGTGGACAAGGGCAAGGGTCATGGTTAGTGAGTTATATTTCCATTGAGTAAGTATCAGATTTTGGGATGGTTAGACTTTATGCTTGAACATATTTTGTAACGTGACACGGTGGACGCTGTTGGGTTATTAATTGTATTTAAATTTTGTAAGACTTCCATTGTGACATGGCTTTATTAGCCATTGTGTTTTAGGTTATTTATTGGTATTTAATGAGATTGACATGACACAACTCATGACGAAAATGAGGGTGTTACAGTTTGGCCCGTTAGGAGCGGTTTTCAAACCAATTCTATAACTAGCATTAGATTTGCAGTACATTGTGGATTTGGTCTATGTGACACCGTAAAACCATGTTCTTGTTTTTGAACTTCGTTTGTTACAAATAAACTCGTACGATATGGGTTCCGTTTTGTTTTGGGTCCCTCGCCTCCAACGCCTATTAATTTTCGGCATCAAGTGTACATGTGGGAAATTTTATTATTTTATCATTGACTTTATTTTAGTAAATAAATGAAAAAAAAAAGGCCAGTCTTGGGGTTTTTTTGATTGAAGGAGGTAGGAAAATAAGAGGAAGGTTCAAGAAAGAGAGGAAAGCCGTCAAAATTGAATTAACAGAAAAACGTATTGGACGTGAACGAGAAGGATCAAATCTTGAAATACATGCTACAAGGATTTACTTGTAATAAATGAAATTTAGGGATGAGAAACATGATTTTCACCATACCATAGTGTTCAAATACATAGTTTAGACTAGACACTAAGACAAAATCGGATTTATATGACACTCTCAATTTCTAAGCATTCTAATAGACCTCTTTATAGAACTTAGTTTATAGGACCAAAAAAAAGAAGGTGTCATATCTAAAGGTGTTGTAATACGTTTATATGACATTTTTTGACGCCGTAATAAGTTTTTTAGGACACTTTTGATATAAAGCGTCCCATTAGCAACTTTAGAGGACATTATTTGAAAAATTGTTATATAAAAACATTGTTCTATAAAAAATTGAGTTTATAGGACATTTTCTCAAAAGTGTCATATAAAGTTGCTAATACGACATTTTATATTAAAAATGTCATAAAAACTTGTTAAGACGGCCAAAAACGTCATATAAACTTATTACAACACATTAAGACGCTTTAAATTTTGGTCATATAAATCAAGTCCTATAAAACGTCTATTGGAACGCTTAGAGATTGGGGATGTCCTATAAACCCGCTTTTGTTGTAGTGAGAATTTGAGATGGTTGGTTTTGTGGTTAATTACTCTCAACTTTCAAGGCCTTAATTAATCTCTAATATTGCATGAGGTTTTAGATTTTAATTATTGTCAAGAGAGTCAAATACATTAACTAAAAGATACAAACCCTTTATCAATATTGTGGTCGACTTAAAATATATCGAATAAAGAAAAGCTTTACAAGTCTCTCTCTCTCTATATATATTTATATATATATATATATATATATATATCTATATCTTACTAATTTTATTGTCTTTCTCTCATTCTCTCATACTCTCTCTCCATCTTACTAATTTTCTTGTCTTTCTTTCATTCTCTCTCTCCTTCCATCATTCTCTCTCTTTCTCTTTACATTTAAAGAAGTTGATGATGATTTGCAAGTCCACAAATGGTAAAAGGAGACCAAAACCAGTGGTTCTTGAGATGTGCTTACTCATTGGAATAATGGGTCTGTGTTTGCTGGTGGTGATGCTCATCATCAGAAACTTACATTCACATAAGATTAGGTTTGAGAAGGGAATGGTTTATGTAAATGGAACAACTTCCATTGGTTTCGTGGATCAAGATTTCATCTGTGCTACTTTGGATTGGTGGCCTCCTCAGAAATGTGATTATGGAACTTGTAGCTGGGGAACTGCTTCTCTCCTCAATTTGGTAACTTCAATTACCCACTCTTATTTATTTACACAAAACTCTATACTTTTATCATCGTTGTATCTAATATAATCGATTGACAAATTTGACGTCAACGACTCAACGTCATACTTATATAGCAAGACGACCCTGTTGTAACATCGGAGGTTCTTAAATGGTTAAAAAAAGGAACTTCAGATCATCCAATAGAAATATATATCAGTTTAAAGCCAAATATATATATATATATATTCTTTATATGTCGAGCATCAATCGATCTCAGTAAATTTTTTAAAATATAAAGAAATCGGTTGGTTACTATGATATTTTTGTTATCTTAGCAACTCGTCAACATTCATTGGATACATGCAACTAAAGCTTATATTCGAACTTAAGGCTTTAAATTATCTTCAATTAAATTTAATTCTTATCGATTAAGACGTCTTGTTTTATTTGGAGAATAGTATAACTTATATGAAAAGTGGCTTTATAATTAGCTTAATATTCTCCATTACATTTATTATTTTATTGTTTTTAAATTATTTTAATGATATGAAAAATATTACCCATAATTATATGGCTACCACCGTTTTGGGGTAGATGACATCGATAGTCAACTTATAAAAAGTCGCCTCTTTTGCTTCTTTGACCTTTTCCTAATAACAAAACGTTAAACATTAAATATTATGAAAAATAAAGATAAGAAAGAAAAGTTAATATGTGAATTATTATATAAAAATCCATTTAAAGTTGTATTTGTAAATTTATATGAATAAATTATAATGTTGACTTGAAATCACACGAGATCGGCTTGTTTTTGTGAGACTCGTAAGACTACTTTTTTACACTTGAAATTCCACGGCAAAACGCTGTGAATGTAACTTTCACGATGTTTTTACTGTGAAAGTTCCGCTTTTTTTACCTTCGTTTCAGGTATAAAAAAGTGGTTTCATGTGAATCCAACTCTTATAATGTTGGTTCACATATGCATTTTAAAGTAGATTTTTTCATGAATTCACATATAAAACATTCTATTAGCCTTCCATTTTTACATTCTTACGATATTTAAACTTCTTATTTGAACTTACCCTAATTGTAATTATTTATTAAGTTTCAAAAATATTCATTATTTTCATTGAACATTTGGATACAAATGATTTATCTGTCATATATTTTGTATTTGTATTATCTTATCCAATTAGTCGTCTAGCTTCAATTCAATTATCTAACATAAATGATATATTACAGTATAGTTGATAATGTTCTTTCACTCGTTATTATTTCAAATTTGATTAAAAATAAAACAATGGATTTAAATATACGAATATTTTATTTGAATATTATTTCTCTCAGTAGATTAAAAAGATCAAATAAAACTAAACCAACCTTCTAAGTAGCAAACCTGATTTATAACGTTAAATTAATTTAGATCATATGAATTTTCACATTATAATATGTTATATACCCTTTATTATTATTATTTTTTAATATGTATTATTCTTATTTGATTCTAAATTTTGGTGACAGGATCTTAACAACAAAATCTTGTTAAATGCAATCGAAGGTTAGTACAAGAAAACCATGAGATTAATGATGCTTTATACATATACATAAACATTAATGAATTATTGTTTAAGATCAGTAATTTTGATCTATGTTCCACTTTATTGCAAACCATTTTAAACATATGATAAATAATTAAATATTCTTTAAACTACATAAAAATTCAAATCTTAGGTAACGTTTGATTCGCAGAATGTTTTTGGATTGAATAGAGTCTGTTAAAGGAATTTGATTTTGAAGGAATTGGAATGGAATGTTGTCAGATTTGACCACCTGTTTGGTTGGCAGACATTGGAATGGAATCTGTTGAGGAATTGGAATCTGTCTGTTTGGTTTACAGAATGTAGTTTTGGAATTAGTATGAAATATTGGTAAATGATCAAAATGCCCTTTTTGAAAATTTTAAGCTTTTAAAAACTAAAAATATTTTAATAAAATAATTATTTCATATGTAAAACAATACAAAAAACACAACCCAAATATAACCATAAGCCAAACAATGTTACTAAATCAACGGTGGTTGGGGTGGTTCAAATCGGTGGTGGTCCGCAGTAGTTTAGATGGTGGTGGTTGACAATAGTTCAGATGGAGGTGGTCAGCGGTGGTTCATATCGACGGCGGCAGCGATGGTTCAGATCGGTGGTTGTTCAAATCGTTAATGATCGACGATGTTCGACTGTGATTCAGATTGGTGGTAGTCGCTAATGGTCGACAGTGGTTCAGATCGATGGTGGTCTGTGGTGCTTCAGGTGGCGGTGGTCGGATGTTGTTCAGATTGGTGGTGATTCAGATCGGTAGTAGTTGACGGTGGTTCAGATGGTGATGGTCGACAGTGGTTCAGATCGATGATGGTCTATGGTGGTTCAGATGGCGGTGATCGACGGTTGTTTAGATCGATGGTGGCTCAGATCGGTAGTGGTTGGCGATGGTTCAGATGGTGGTAGTTAGCGGTAGTGGTTCAGATAGTGGTGGTCGTCGGTGATTTAGATCGACGACGATCAAAGGTGGTCGACGATGGTCATATTGGGTATTATGAAAATAAAGAATTTCATTCCATTGAAATACCATGTAGTTGCTAAGAAATGTTAAATTCCTTTATTTGTGGAATTTGTAGGATTTTGAAGATTCTTTTCGTGAAAAAGAATGAACCAAAATGAGGGAATGAAATTTGATCAATGCAATTCAACATTCCAATTCCATCAGATTCCTTCAGAATCTGCTAACCAAACGCCCCCTTTTATATTTTTGTAAAAGGGATAAATAGACAAAGGGTAATATGGTATTTTTTGCAGCCTTTTCTCCTTTAAAACTTAGATTGGGAGGCACTCTTCAAGACAAGGTGATGTACCAAATGGCTGGGAATCAAGAACCATGTCCCCAATTCAATGGGAGTCCTAAAGAGTTGTTTGGCTTCACCCAGGGTTGCTTACCCTTGTCTAGATGGGATGAACTCAACATTTTCTTTCAAAAATCAAAGTAATTAAATTTATATCATATTTCTTAATTACATGTTATTATTATGATATTGTCAATTTTCTGTAACAAGGTTTTGTTTGTTTTTTATCTTCATTTTTGAAGAGCAAAGGTTATATTCGGGTTGAATGCGTTAAGTCAGAGACACGTAAGCATGGATGGTTCTGTCGTAGGACCATGGAACTCGAGCAATGCTGAAGCTCTGATGAAATACACTGTCGACAAGGGTTTCACTATTCATGGTTGGGAACTTGGTAATTCTTTCGGTCTGAAAACAAATAACTGTATAGTTGGTATTTACTTAAATAGTTAGAATTTGCTCACTTGTGTATATCTCTGGACACATTTTCGAACATTCTTGTGTTAGGAATAGACATCTTCAGATCTTCTGTTAGGCAAGTGTCTTCTTAAAATATTGAGAAGACAGATGCATATAAAAAATATGTTAAAAGGTTATTATCATAAATAACTCAAAGACAAAAGTTGTACCCTCTACCTATGATTTTTATGGTCTTTGCATAATTATCTGCATCTTATTCAAAGTGTTTTATGAAAATCGTAGGAAACGAATTGAGTGGGAATGGAATCGGAGCAAGAATAATGGCAGATCAATATGCATCGGATACAATTTCTCTTCAAAACTTGGTGCAAAATATCTACAAGAGTTTTGAAGTTAAACCGATTGTTCTTGGACCAGGAGGATTCTTTGACGCAAATTGGTTCACTGAGTATGTAATGAAATCAAACGGTTCACTTCAAGCGATTACACAACACATCTATAATCTTGGTCCAGGTATTATCAATTGTTACAAATAACAATTTTAAATGATCACATCACATAAATACATGTCTTAAAACATATCTTTCACGTAATATATACAAACATATATATTTATTTATTCTGACTTTGTAAATAATTGTTGGTTTATTACATCGAGAAAATATGCTTATAATAAAGAATGTATGTATCCATTAGGGGTTGACAATGACTTGGTTAACAAAATATTGGATCCATCATGTCTGGATGGAGGATCACAACCCTTGAGAGATCTTCAAAAAATCTTGAAGGAATTCGGAAATTCAACTATAGCTTGGGTCGGTGAAGCAGGAGGTGCATATAACAGCGGTCATGATCGTGTCAGCAACACTTTCATTTTTAGCTTTTGGTATTTTTTCGACAAATACTTAGTAAACAAATATATTATGTTCAAATTATATCAGGTTTTTTCATTACGAATAATTTTCATCATGAATATCTATCATGAGATGTATCTTTAATAAAATATGAATAGTTAATTAGTCCTCTGGTTTTCAAGCAGTTACTATAGATACATATGTGTGTATCTATTAATCTTCTAAGCGTACAAACTTTTCTTACAGGTATTTGGATCAACTCGGGATGGCATCTTCATATGATACTAAAACGTATTGTAGACAATCGTTAATAGGAGGGAACTATGGACTTCTTAACACCGTCACATTTGTCCCCAATCCTGATTACTACAGGTACTTGGTTCGTGATGTTAACTTCCTTGTAAACATTAAAGTTGATAGTATGACATCCAACTGTATATTTTTCTTAATGGAATCTGGTATTCGTCGTTGTTTAATGTTGTCAATTAATGTACAATGCAGTGCGCTTCTTTGGCATCGGTTGATGGGAAGACATGTTCTATTGACAAGTTTCGATGGCACAAAAAAGATTCGTTCTTACGCTCATTGCTCTAAACATTCAGTAAGTATACATTTCCTCTTAGAGCAACAAAACCATCCTGAATAAGTACATGCATGCACGTATATGCAAAATCATTAAAAATTTATTTGTTTATTTAAATAATTTTTAATGATGTATATTTTGATTATATAATAATTTTTGTAATCGATTGTTTATGAAATTCAACAAATCAGATAGAAACAGAGTTAGTAGGTCAACATGACCCGATCAGCCCATTAATATTTTGAGATATAAGAGAATTTATTAATTGACCCGTTATTCAATCTATCAAATCCATTCTACGACTACCACCTTTATATCATCAAATCATTTTTAGTTGTCATTTTCTTTTTGAAGTATAACCATAGATATCTGATGGCTAAAATTGACAGGACGGGATTACCTTGTTATTGATCAACCTTGATAGTTATACAACAACTGCAATTGGTCTTTCAGTTGAAAACGTGACAATGATAACGGCATCAAACCAACTAAAACAAACACAACGAACACAATCCTTTCAAAGTTCTAGCAACGAGTTTACAAGAGAAGAGTATCACCTAACGGCAAAAGATGGAAATTTGAACAGTCAGACGGTACTACTAAATGGAAAAGAATTATCTGTAAATTCTACTGGGATCATCCCTTCGCTAGATCCAGTAGAAGTAAACATCTCAAACCCGATCATCGTTGCTCCTTTCTCTATTGTATTTGTTCATATGCCTGACATACACCTTCCAGCTTGTACATAATTGAAATATACATTAATAAGCATTTAGATAAAAGTCTTAATTACAAGTCTTAAAACATAAAGTACTATCACTTTATGCAATAGATTTAAAAATCTCTTAAGTACAAACTATTATGCATAATGTATAGATGCTTAAAATATACCATTTGTTTGGTGAAAATTTCAAATTTAAGTAAGTCATGTTTACATGAAAAAGATATGTTTGTTCTTCCAAAAGTTGTTTGACACTTTGTTTGTTTCCTATTTTGAACCCAAATTCAAATTCAAAGTTCTTATTTCTCTTGAAGTAAACTGAAATTTGAAGCAATAATATCAAAAAGGGTTTCAGATCATGCATGTACCCTTCCCTAACCCTTCAACTTTATATTGGTTTAGAAACTTAACATGTGTGCAATTATTTTCCTAATCGATCTTGTTAATACACTATATTAACCTTCAACTTTATATATTAGTTGACTTGTAAAATAACCACACAAACTCCTGATTCAAGGCTAAATTAATGTTTCATAATTGTAATTCACCCACGTTGTATCGCACGGGTACACCACTAATAATATATATATATATATATATATATATATATATGTGTGTGTGTGTGTATTCATCGTTTATGAATCCAATGTTTATAAATCATTATATCATCCAAAGACTAGATCTAAGCACATTCTATGTCGATCATCAATATTACCATTAAACCCAAACATAATTACTTTATGTAAAGAAAACACTTGGCTTTAATAAATTATTACGATAATTGGATGGTTTACTTACGGCTTAATGAGCTTAATAGTTTGGACAACTTATTCATTCAACCATATATGAGTGTTTCTTTACAGCTTACTCACTAAGACAATAAACCAAAATGGCTATATGTAAATAAGCCATGACCCCTCACCTGTCCTCGTTACCTCAAACAAATAAATACCTAAAATGTCCTAGAAAAAATCCAACCCCTCTGTTTTGCCACCCTTAATAGGTAAAAGAAGAAAATTTATGGAGAGATGATCAATAAGCCATTGTGATATATATATATATATTGGTCTCTATCATCTTGAATCATGATCTGAATGACCAAAAAGATGATGAAAAATTATAAAGTTTACCAGATAAAAAGAAAAGAACCTTCTTTTTCTGGAAAAATGATGGCTAAAAATTTGATTCTCTAAGCTTTTCTTTACATCTAACTAAGTGAGAAACCACCTAACGGACATAGATGCCAGCAAGATTCTTGACAATCGAGATTTGTATGAAGTTGGATGGATCATCGGTTCTTCTTATCAAGCCAAAGAGCACACTTTATCTGGGAAATAATCGCCAACGTCAGTTGGGAATCAATTTAAGAAGAAACAACACATAAAGAGGCAACATGTGAAGTGTTTACCTTGTCGAGAACTGCTACAGCACACACGACCGTCATCTATATAAGTCGCTTGTATACCCATCATCCATGAACCCACTGATGTATCTTCATGAGCGTAAGTCTTCAGAGATGCACTACAAGAAAGAGAAATCGAATCAAGTATACTCGGAATGCTTATTTACAGAATCTCACATGGGTTCTATCAACAGATGGACACAAGTTTTTATAAGTTGGAAAAGCAAACAGGAGGTAAATTACAGAGATAAATGTATTGTTTTTGAATCACGGCATGTTTCTGTGCTTCTTGTAACTCCTAACATATGGAGGTGGGGAGGGCGGGGTGGGGGGATAACACTGACCTGTTAATGTTAATGTAATTAGCAAAATTTCGGGATAGGATAATAAGTGAGCCGGCTGCATGCCGAAAGTACCTGGCCAGAAACGGATCAGAAAGATAAGGCTAACATGAGAGCTATTTAATTTTCAAGATCTAATGCATGTATGTATCAGATATGGATGTATGTTTAATGAATGTATGAAAGTATGGATTTACATATGTATATACATATAATATATATATATATATATACATACATATATATATATATATATATATATATATAGATAAAGGGTTGGGTTCCGGTGAGAAGGGAAGTTACGGTGAGAAGCGTAAGAAGAGATCTCCACCCTCGGATCAACCCTAATTGAATAACACTAATGAGGTGCACCGAGATGCACCTAATCAATTCTCTTTTAAAGCGCAATTCATAGGTGGGTATGAGATTAAAAGTGATCAATGGTTCAGATCTCTTCTTGCACTTCTCATCTTAACTCTTTTTCTCACACGATCTTTCACAATATATATATATATATATATATATATGCATACATGTGTGGATGTATGGATGTCAACCCATTATGATGGATGCTCATTGGCAAGGTTAAACAATGATTCGGAAAAATGAGAAAATTACTTACGATTTCTCATCACCGAACTTCCACCACTCAGGTTCATACCACTGCTTTCCCCTGAAAATTGGCATACATGAAAGGTTAAATTATAAAGAGAAAGGGTTGCAGTATATGTACGATATCTCCAAAATCACTGGTTTTTACGAAATGTTGGGGCATTTTCACAAGAATGGTGGTTAGTTACAATGCAAACCAAAGACGATGGTTCAGAAAGTCAATCATTCAGTAATATTATGAAAATAATAGCAAGAAGGTAAAATGAAACTGGACATGTGGAAAATATATAAATCTTCTACATAACTCTAAGTAAAGAAACAAGGATGGTTCCTTTCAAGCAGGTAGGAATCCAATATTTTTAAGAAGCAAATCAACCTTTAGAATTTTAGTTAATATGCCTATGTTTCTTTCCTTTAATCAAAGTACGATATGACACATAACGGTTAACCCGTTCTTTGTACATAAACCCTTGTCAGGGTTTCACATAGTTGTCAAAAAAGTTGATTATATTTGCACCACTAAATAAATGGTACTTACACTTCAGAAACTACTACTCCCGATTTCATGCATCCAATATACAGACTATCTTGACCACGACGGCTTTCAAGAAGCTCAATCAACCCCTCTGAAGGCAGAGAAAACAAAATCATTACATAAATACAAAATAGAAAGATGCACATTTCAGTACAGAAGTAAGACTTCAAACTTCTTACCGAGATCAAGGTGTATATTGCTATCGACTTTTACATAAAACTCAGCATCCCAATTTTGAACAGCCGCACTGAAGAAGAACTTGGCTTTCTTAGGAGATTCTTCAGCAGCCTCCTCATGACCATCCTAAGAATCATACAATTATAAATCCATGGTAATACACTTCCGCTGTCAACTAAATTGTAAAATAAACTAGAGACTATTTAAATAGCATCTCTCCATTCTGCCATCTAAAGGACATATCTACTTGTATCCTAGGACATGAACCTGTGGATTTTAACGCAACTGGTATCGTCTCTTGGATTAGTGGCCAATGGTTCAAGATTTGACGTTACAAGACGGTGTGAGCTTTTTTGGCCCAGCTGGTGCCAAGTCATGAACCTGTGGTTCAAGATTCGTTTGTTAACAAGTCTGGTCCTGCTCCCTATGGTGTGACTATGTTATTTCATGGTTCAAGAAAACATTATAGGTTTATGTATCACTGCAGCTAATAAATATTTGTTTTACCATTTTTCTTTCTCCTATTCGTGACATAACAAAAAACATGTGCAGTTTCTACAGTTTATCAAAAATCTATTTCAATATTCTGACGATTTTTCTGTAGATAATTTCTACATTAGCTCTGGTCTCGCTCCAGATTTGATCTTGTTTTAGCTGACTTCTGTGCCTACCTGCAATTTGCTATAAGGCACTGACATGACTACATATAAATCCCTAGCTATGGTTCTAGCTCCTAAACATTTATTCTATGCAGGTCCTTCAAATTTTGTCATACTATAGTCTAGTGGTACAATAGCGATTTAATATACAGTAGACCATTTTATGAAACTAGCATGGAGATCAAACTAATAAACTTACAAGAATCAAGAAATCCTTTGTGGTGCGATTTTCCTCATCAATATTGCGATCCAAGCTATCACCACGATTGGGACTGGAATTCCAAAAACTTTTTTTAATTAGGTATGAGCTTGTCTACTTAATCTTGATGACAAATATTAGTTCAAACTGAAAGTAACATTGTTGGCAGGTATAAAAGCAGAATATAGCACAACTAGCAAAGAAAGAATGAGAAGTTCAAGTAAATAGGAAAACCTCCGGCCAATAACAAAACGTATGACTATTCCTCTTTCTTCAAGCTTCTTTAATGAATCAACTGTCAAAACTCAAGGGGATTAGTATGTTACATGCAAATTATACCATAAAGATTATAATTTTTAGTTGTCCATTATTAAATACCAGTGATTGAATGGTGGAAGGCCCCTTGAAGATGATTGTTATTACATGTAAGGCTCAATAAATTGTCATTTATCGTTTTCATTTTGTCGTCCCCGTTAACATGGCATGAGTAGAAATGAACACCATTGGAGAATGGAGGAAAATGATAAAAAGTATGGAGCCTAAACTTTCTTGAGTAAGGGTAGCGAAAATGAACACCATTATAGGACTTCCGATTCACACACAAACAACAAGCCTTTTATCCCAAACTAGTTGGGATTAACATGCATACTAATTAAGACTTTCTCAAAATCAAGCCATATTTTGGCGCGGACACTCATATCCATCAGCAAGCAACAACACATACTTCTCCATGAAGCATAAATTGCAGTAATAGGACATCAAAGAAGCTAAACCAGATCAATACGAGAAAGAGGATACTGTGGGTGTGGGGTCAAAGCCATTTGCTAACTTAAAGAACAATATAGATGATGAGTGTAAGGCATTCAAGAAGATGGCAGATAGACTACAGCCAAACAAACACACCTTAAGATGCCAAGAAACAAAAGGGTGGCAGTGTCCCATGAAGACTACAAAGCTGACACGGTGACAGTAATGGGTGAAAGCTTAAAACATAGAAAGAGAGGACCAATGGAAGCATGGATGTTCAAGAATATGGAGAAGTCTATAAGCCAATGATCCTGCTGGAAATATATCCATAATGTCCCCTTGCATTTACCGTTTTTGTGTGTTACTCTATAAATGAGCATGGTAATGGTATATTTATGACTCGCTACTTATGGTTAATTACCAAATGGTTCCTGTAGAATCTCAACGGACAATTTTACCCTCTTAACGAACTATATAAAGGGCGGTCATTCATTCATATCTCAATTGTCATAATTATTACACTACCTTTTCTCTCATCAAGACACATGAATACTAAATTCCGTCATAAAACTATAAAGGCATAACTAAGATTGTGTTACTCCTCCCACTCGATTACTTCATCAACTAGTTGAAATTAAATCTTCCCACAAGTAAGTGCCATTACTTTATTCTAATTCATAACTCCTTTACATGATCATAATTCATTTATAGCACATCAATCCTCTTTTTTGTTATGTTTATGTGGAAAGATTCAACAGATCTTCTAATATCTAGGAACTTAGATTATATTCATGACCTTAAAGAGTTCATGCCAGCAACTACCTTCACTAATCTCATGCTGTCAAGCTTTCTCAAAATTCTCAATTTGCCTTAAGTTGGCCTTGGCATGGAGATGTGGGAGCTGACCTTTAAAAGATTTGAAAAAGCTATTACTGCAAATATGTATATCTATTCGCGAGAAGATTGACAACAAGATACCAATCTGATCTCTAAGGGTGTGTTTGGTATCCGGACAGGATATAACAGAACATGACAAGACCATATGAAACAAAACAGAACAAAACATCTTGTTGGAGTCCCACATCGGCTAGACTTGGACCAATTCTCTTGTATAATGGTGGAACCTCCCCTTTCTCCTCAAGGGCTCTTTTGGAGAGTGATATAGAGGTTCCACATATTCTCACATGATATCAAAGCCAATGTCTGTCACTTTAGGGACTCGACACTCTGGCTAACCCCCTCTCGACTCCTTGGGATAATTTGTGTCCATCTAACCTCCATTGGAGAGGGTGTGTTGAAGTCCCACATCGGCTAGACTTGAACCAATTCTCTTGTATATATGTTGGAACCTCCCCCTTCTCCTCAAAGGCTCTTTTGGAAGTGATACAAGGGTTCCACATATTCTCACACATCTGTTCAACATTTGGTAAGACAGAACTGGACAAAACAAATAAAATGACCAGTTTACCCACAATGAGTTGTTTACATATTTTATATATTTTGATTAATTATATAATTTATTAAATTATAATAAAATATATTATTAGAAAGTTTTCGTCAAGTCTATTAAAATGACACCAAAATAAAAACTTTATTTAGTTCCCAATTTTTTCTATATTATTATTTTCATTATTAATATTTAATAAATGACATAATTTAATCAAAATATAGATACCGTATAAAATAATATTTTGTGGACAATAAAGTAAAAGTTTAAAAACATAAAATACAATAAAATAAAATTTAAAAAATGAATAAATGTAAAGAGCTAAAGTAGACAAGTGCAAGCAAAAAGCTTCGAGGTGGCCTACCCCAATAGACAACAAGTGCAAGGATTGACAAATTTCTTAACAGCTAAAGTAGTAATGTTTGTTGAACTATAGAAAGAAAGAAAGCAGAGTAGACATTCATGACTCCTGAGTATCCTCCCTATTACTATCTAAATAAAGTATTTTCTTCTATCAGACCTTCAATTTCTACAAGGGGTTACCATCATAAGAAGTGTAGAACGTTATGCAAATTATGAACTGACCTCCAGGCGTCCAAGAACCTCGGAATGCATTTCTATTTTGCCGACCCCCAAATCCAGTATAGATGCCGATCACAGCGAGAAGCTTTTTGCTAGAAGAGGACCCAGGCTGCTTCAAATGGTTCTCGAGGAAACCTTGACTCTTTGCTAGTGTTATTTCCATCTCAGCTTCCACAATTCTTCTCTCTAAATCTCTAAAAAAATCATTTGCGCCAATAAGACAGTTAAGACATCAAATAGGGTAAGGATTTGAAAGATAAACAGGAAGACCCAAATTTACTTGCATCCTAGGACCATTAGCTTGTCTTCAACAGTAAGAACCTTCGGTCTCTGCCATAAGAAGGAAGACAACCAATCAAAATAAAATAAGGAAAATCAGGCAGCAGAAGAAAAGATAAAATCAAATCTTCATTGATATAAAACAATTTTGATGGTATGGACTGGGGTATTCTTTAATATTATTCTATAAAATGTCTTATTCCAAGGAAGTAGAGTGGCTTAACGGAAGCATGTAGGGCCCATAACCCAGAGGTCCCAAGATGGGAACCCAGCTTTGATACCAATTAATTAGAAAATGCCAAAGAAATCTGCACAAAACAGAAAATTTCTCGACAGAGAATAGAATTCTATTAATCACTGATTTCACACTGTTTCTGGAGGGAATTTTCTGCATTATTACATGAACTAGAGATACCTATTTATACATTATATACGTAACTGAAGTTGACAGTTTTTTCACAGAAAAGAACTATCTTAACTATATTAACTATTAACTATAACTTTCTGCTGTGCACCTCACTTTTGCTGCTATGTTTCTACCACATTTTCTGCTTTGTAAAATCTGCCCATCTGACCATCTCCAGCAATTTTAGGCATAATATTTATGCACTTCTGCTGATTTTTCTGCAATTATCGCTTATAATTTATGAAATCAACAAAAATTTCAATTTTAGTATAAGCAAATGAGAAGGGGCGAGTCATGGAGCATCCAATAAGGTTACTCCTACAAAGACTTCCATTGCAACACTAAGTAGCCTTAGAGCACCAACGTACCAACTCACAGCCGAGCGGTGACCAAGTCTAGCACGCGCCCATTGAGCTAGTCCAAGGCCGACCCAGTCAAATAACAGTTCCGATAACAGTTCAGGGTAGTTATGATCCGAATCATATCTCACACTATGCCACTATGGTACATACACACACAGGGCGCTTGGGTTGGTTGATCTATTCAAGGGGAAAAAATCCATCTGCCACCACTAATCCATTTTCAAGATCTCCTCAATCATAAGCTCGCTATGATTATTGATTATTACTGAAAAAACTGTGTCATGAAGTCACTGTGTCTCCAATTTATGAACACTATTCCATTATTACAACTCGGATCATGCTTTGGCTACTAAATTCTTAATCATTACTTAGCTATGCTTGTACAAGGCTCATCAACAATGATGTGAGTGCATATTGAGTTAGGCAAGAGTTTTAATATCTTCCAAATTCCATCATTAATTAAGTATTCAGTAAGTGTGGGAAGTCACAAGTTAAAAATAATACCTGGGCAGAATTCTTTACAAGCAGATTAGACAATAATGTTCTGTTCTCAGCATCTTGCCACAACCTGGTAAAATCAAACATTACCAGTTCTCAGACCCATACACAATTGATTGTCTCAACCATTTTACAGTGAAAACATAAACTGACACCTATCTGAAGTCGTACAATCACCAATTTTGGTAGTTTTGGAATAATGACATCATGTTATTGCAACCACGGTATCCTGAACATCCAAACTATAGTAACCAAATGAAATATGCATTTCTCCTGCATCTAGCATCAATTAAGTCCCACTTACCAAAACCAAATAATTTCAACTTTAGCAACTGAAAGATGGAACGCATATACAAAAGAATACAAGTTAGCGCCATTAGCCACTAAAGATGCAATATACAAATAGATACAAGTTCAACCATGTTATCGAGGTGGTCGCTTTTCAGAACCAAAATTGATATTGCTATCTTTAATTTTGAAGGTTTAAAAAAACACAGCTCGAGGTCACCTTACTGGGCACAACTCTGTAAAGTAAATTCATCCATATAATCAGAATCTCAAAACTGTGAACTTCAACAAAACTTAAAATGTACACACCACAGAACCTGGTATTTATTAAGTGAGACCACTTTTTCAGATTGACAACTGACTTGGTAAATTTAATCCGTGATTTTAGAGATGGAAAATAAGTATACGTCTACCACAACTGTCCTGAAGTAATTCACCAACCATGACGTCCTGTATTTTCGATATTTTTTATAAGCTCATACCAATCAACAAGCCCAAAATTAAATTTCAGCCGGAAAAAAAGTAAAATTGCACACACACACACATTCAGAAAATAATCTGATCATCTTAATTTAGAAGTGAACAAAAGGAACATCTCTATAAATCACAAAATTCTGGAGTTTCAGTTCATCGCAATCACCAAATCACAAACTCTAAAAGTTGAGCCATAAAACTAAAAAATAAACAAAACAAAAATGCACATACATACACACTTCAACAAATTCATAACGACATATCATATCACAAGACGTTATTTTTACCCAAAACAAAGTGTAAAATTCATATACATACAATACCAGCATAGCAAATACCTGCCGGCGATGTAAAGCCACGCGAGACAAGAGAAGAAAGCCAAGAGGAGTGAAGGTCTAGAAGAATTTTTTGATGATGCCGATGATGATCTCCCACGTTGTTTCTCAGTTTTAGGTATCGTCGTTGGCAAGCCCTCCTTGTAGAATAGAGGGCCGCTATCCATAATTTTCCTTTGAAATCCTTGTTTTTACGTAAATAATTTCAAAATTTTCAATTGAATTATGTAAGAACTATGTGAAATTTGGGGATATCGATGATTGATTGAGATTATTGGGTTGTTTAATCGATCTGATTCATAAAAACGAACACGCAATCAAATTTGTGCAGAGAGAATTCGGAGCTCGCTTACACCGAAGGAGAGACTCCTAAACAACCTGACGAAGATGAACACAAGAGATCTGTTGTGTGCTGAATTTGAAATTACCTTTTTTATATTTTTCTGTTTTGGTCTGCATTTTTATACCTCCAAATCGTAACGTTTCTCATACATATTAAGAAAATATCAAAATGTATTTAATACGTCATAAATTCTACTTAAATAAATAAATTTCATTAAATAAATAAGTTTGTTTACACCAAACAACTTAACCCTTTCTAAGGCATATTAAATATATGTTTTGGAAAAAAACTTAAAGTTTGCGTTTGGTACATGGAATAAGACGGGATAAAACTTATTGTTTCATATTTGAGGCGATATAGGACATGATAATAATTTATTGTCACATGCTTGGTGTGATATGAGATATGGATAACAACTGGAACGAAGTGAGACAGTGTGAGAAAAAAATGTTTTTTCTTATGACGGGAATGAATCAGAAACTAAAATATTACTAATTAACACTCGTTTGATATATAACTTTAATATGATATATTTTTAGTGCTTACTACCGCTAGTCGCAGTTAACACCACCAAACAGTAGCCACTGTCGGCCACCTCCACCTCATCTTTCACTACAACAATCTCTTTTACCAACTCTACAACCACCATTGATTAATGATCACCATCAGCCATCGCACAACCTCCACCATAACCACCAACACCACATCGATTACAACTATCTCCTGCACCACCACTATTATTTACCATTTTCACTTTCTCCACAATTGTTGTCGATCGACCACCACCACCTCAACCATAACTAACACCACTACTACCATAATAACCACCACCTACTCTCATGTCTTGTCATGTCCAGTTCTATCATATTCAATCAGGTCCAATCATGTCTGTATATCAAATGTTACCTAATAGTATACATTAGAATTGTTTATTTATTTTCTAATAAAAAAACATAAAAGTATTATCTTTTTTATAAGATGGGAAAAACAGCCTCTTAAAAGAAAAAAAAAAGAAAAACAATATTTTAAAATTTTGTATTTAACGTATTGTTTATGTTTCTATAACAATTTATTTAGTTAAAAGGGGCTAAAATAACTTTTAAAAATCCCAAAATATTCAAAAACTAATCATTAAATCCTTAAGATTTTAACTGAAAATTAATTAAATTTTCAATTATTTTTATTTTTCGACCTCTTTCTATGACATATATGTTTGTTTTCAATTATTTTTAGGTAACTATTTAATAAGACAATGAAATTGGATATTTAAGAATTGTATTCTCATTTTCTAACAATATGTTAAAAAAAATGTACACAAGCATAAATTAATCAAGTTATTTTTTATAAACGAAAAATAACTATTATGAAAAATTCGCATTTAAGGTAGCGCATTTCCTATTTTATAAGAATTTCTGTATCAGAAAACCGAAATGACTCATACTTGAAGTCTTAGATCTCATGTCTCAAACACAAGGATATGGCTTTGCTTTGCACACATAAAACAAATGTTGCCATCATAATGTCGTTTTGAGTTCGAAAAACACTGAATGTTTGCTTTAAAACGCAAGATACATGTTGCTATACGATATTGTTCCAAGTTGAAGAACACACACGAATTGTGCCCGTTGTTGGACCCACCCCGACACTTCTTTTAATGGTACAACACCTGAGAATAACGTGATGGCAATTTTGGAAGGATATAAGACTTGTATACGACAAATATTTAAACACACTTCTCACTTTTGATGAAGTTTGAACCTTTTAACCTCCTCAAGGACTTAGGAGCCGTTTACCAAATGCTTATAAGGGTAAATGTTTGCCGACAAAAGTCAACATTATTACTTACTTAACCGGTAAGATTTTAGTCCACCAAACGGTATCATACGCAACAATTTACCCCGTAAGCACTAATTGTAGTAAGAGTCGTCGCCCTCACTTACCTGGTAAGACTCTCGGTCCTTGCTTTCATTCCTACCGGGTAAGATTCTTGATCTTGGTCATATTCATACCATAAGGTAATGAATGTGACTTTAGTAAGCACTTACCTGGATAAGCGTTTGATAAACAGCCCCTTACTCTACTGGCAACCCAAATACGACTGAGCCAATCAATTTTCTGCACCATGTTTATGATCTAAGCATATAAATGATGTCCTTCTTTATGGTTTATACGATCACTGAAGAGTACAATTACGAGGAAAAGTACAAAAAAGGCCCTATGATAAACTTAGACGGAAGAAGTTAAAACGTAAATGATTCTACTAAAAAAATAACACTGTCGTTTTCTTTTGTGGGTCCCGTTTCAATATCGTAAACAAGACCACAATATAAAGATCGGATGTAAAAATCAAACCCTGAAATTGAAGTCTTAACAGCAGGCAGATGAACACTCTAATTGCTCCTTCCACCTCCAGGCATCAAATTTGCAATAGAAGGAACTCCTTGGTTCCTCATCTCTTCTTGGGCTTTTCTAATTTCTTCTGGGTCTGTTCCCATAGCAAATAAAGATCAATATTGTAAACAATTTATCCGAACCCAAAGAAAAAGAAGATAAATCTATGGCTGCCATCAAACGTTTACCGTTAAACTTACACCAAATATTGTTTCTATATATGGAAATTCTAAATTGAAGTATGCTTGATGGTATAACATTGATGGCATCTATAGATTTGCAGAAAAAGAAAAGATAAATTTCCAACCGAACTAATAAAAAAATGCAACATCTCTAGCTTTTTTCAAAGTTTTCAAGTCGATATAACCTATTTAGACAATAGATCATGCAACCACATTGATGGTATTGACTTAGATCATCGGTATCCTTTTGTTGTGGTGAAGGGTAATTTAGATGTCTAACAAATAGTAAAAGTAGAAGCTAAAAGCACCAAGTAAACCACCATTTGATGCCAATACGAGTTAAAAGTGGAAAACTCTTACTGGAGTGAAGGGAGTTCTAAAATAAGAAAATGACGGAATTAGACATTGAATGCTTACCCATGTTCTCGACTAGTTTGGGCATCAAGAACACCACCACCACCATAAATCCAATCATGAGACCCATTGGACTTTTCACAATAGACATTATGTTGAAAGGTTCCCTTATCTGCAAGCACAAAAGATGAGCCAAGGCAAATAACAAAAAACTTAAACCAATTTGTACAGTACAAAATCTTAATTCATAGATTACTTAAATTAATAATAAAGTACTAACACACACAAAAAAATAGTGCAAGTACAAACATGCATGAAATTTGGCAAGAGAAGGTTGAATAGTGTGAAAGGTAGAGAACGTATGTAATACATATTTATTTTGGACTAAGTTTTGGTTTTAATATAGGTGTTTGTCCAAAGCATATGACTCTGAGTTGGACTGAGTTGTCAAAACATTAACCCAGTCGTACTCTTGAATCCAGAACAAAAATATAACATGTTCATATACTCCCTTGAAAGATATATATTAAGATTTACTGATGCTAAACATAATATTTTATACAAGCAAATCGATAGACCTCAATGAAGTAAAAATAATGTTAACACAGGCATTCCATTCATGAAACTGTCGCTTTCAATTTTGGAATGTCCCAAGAAAATAAAATAAAAACTAAAATTACTTATTTGTCTATTGTCACCGTTACAAAGAAATGATTATATTGATTTGAATGCAAGATCCCTCTATTTCATAATCTGTATGGTATTTAAGGTATTTGAATATGCATACACTTCTAACTATGTGCATTTTCATGAGACAGAGTAACAGCAACGTATTGAAAATCATTGGTAAGTTAGAAACAAATTTCATATCACTATCACATTTAAATAGTATTCGATCTAACACCATACAGCTAGAACCAAACCAAATCACACCAAACGCAGCCGGTATATCCCACACAAAGGTCGGGTTTGGGGGTAGAGAGGTTGTTTCATACAAGTAGACAGGTGCCCCAAGTAACATAAGAGTGCATGCAAACACACAACAGGTATAGTGATAACACCATAAAGCTAGATGTTTCTATTTTTGAGAAGGTAGAAAATACTAATGCACCCGACTGACCTCATAATATTGTTCTTCTCTCAAAGGCTCCAAAACCAGCTCATTTAGACCTCTTCTGTTTTCTGTCAGTGCTGCCTGAACCTTACCAGGGTTTCTTGCACTAACATCTACGCGTACCTGGGTTTAAATGAGCAAAATGTTACCTTATTGGGGTAAATAGGTCGAGTCAGAAGAGAAAGGAATATAAAAAACTGACCGGTGAAAAGAAATAACCGATGGCATCAACTTCAATAAGGTGGGTTCCAGCAGGCACATTATGGCTTTTCGTGTATCATTAAGGAACTTCAGCAGCGATAGATAAATAACACACCTATCATCTTGACAAAAGATGCATGCATACACATCCAAAATTATATAATATAATCACAGCTATTTGAGTCCGGTATAACAAATCTTGCATGATTGTGCACTCATGAGACCTACTGTCACTAGCTTTGAAGAAATTAAACCATGTGTAACTACAAAAAGGAAGGCAAAAGAAAAGAAAATGAGGAAAAGCATAATAGCTTGGTAGCAAGATAACTGAAGATGTATGTCAAATAAAAAAAACTGTATTAAAAAATAGTAATGGCCGAAATATGCAATTAAATAACACATAGCTCTAAGCTAACCTAATCGCTATGTAGGACTAGGAAATACCAAAGACCAAAGTGAGAACAATAGTTGGTGTCACAATAGCATTTCCCACTCACTAAAAGGAATGGCTGCCCAACTATCATCGGTATCTCATTCAGACCACCCTCTCAAAAAAAATAATCAAAGAGCCACTAAGCTAACTTACCAGGTTCGAAAACCACAATTCCAACCAATATCGGTTGAAACCCACTTAGAGCACAACTGGTGAAAAGCTTATAGAGACCCAAATCTTAATCCATAAGCAACGGATTTAAATGCCAATGACTAAGTAGAAGATAAATATTTTGGGCTCCTCAAAGAAGTAAAATAGATTAGGGGATGTCTCAAAAGACAAAATATGGTATTTACGAAATGGCGTCCATATAATTGAACCTAATAGGATCACAGGTCTTTTATGCACTAAACTATGCAATAAGAACCCAGAACCTGGCACTAACCACACTATTGGTCTCTCACCATTCTTTTTAAATACATACAGATACAGTATCCTAGCCATCTATGTGCTGTAAAACCAGACTTGACATCTTTGACAGTATTTAGAAATGAAAAGTCAACATAATTACCCTAAGCATATAAGTTGTACCAGTTATCAAGTAAACCCCTCAAATGCATCCAACATTGAATCAGAATTTCATAAAAGAAAGATTATGATTTGGAAAAGTTGAACTGCAACCCCCACTGCAGCAAATAGTTCATACATTGGGGGATGAATGTGCAATAGCTAAGCTGAATGGTGGAGCATCATAGTGGAAACTCCTGTTGCTACTAAACAAGGGTCCAGGTTATTAAGATTTGAAAGAATTGTTTAACTCAACATCTCTAACAATTACTAAACATCTTCAAAGTAGTTGTATCAATTCTTAATTGCAAAGAATTCAATTCTGCCTCACTTGATAATTTCTCTTATTATTTACCAATTCTTTTCCAGCTTCATAAGAAAGTGCTACCTAAGGTTTAGAACCCAGTTTTTCCCTTCTTCTGCCCTTTACGGTAGAAKACWTGATCAGAAAGCTATGCCTTCCAATACCATAATCCAGTGATACATCCTTAGTCCCTACAGCATTGACCATAATCTACAAGGAGCTGAAGAACATACCACCACATCCAACATGCATCTCTGAATTTCAGCAACCATGAACATAATGTATGTATCACAGTATGATAATTTAACCCTTTACATCAAGTACATTATAGTTTCCATTGGTCAGATGAACTTTTGTCAGTAATTAATTTAATACTGAACTTCCAACCATTTATTGCAATATCACAAACTAAATATCAAAAGAAAACATGTAAAATATTAAGATGGTAGGATACAATGAAAAGTAACCATCAGGCTTTAGAAAGGTAACTCGCTGACCACCATTTAATGTGACTTTGGCATTGTTAGTCTTTACTGGCAGACCAAAGCCTTTCGCACCGAAACCTGCAAAATCAAATTCACCTAACTATTATAATAAAAATCTTTTTAACATAAACTGCATTCTTTGTTAAATCAAAAGGCGAATGTGGGAACAAAAACAGCTAAGCTCCTCATTACATGTATGATAAGAATCATACAATTTAAAGGATAATAAGCAGATTTTGATGGGAAATGAACAACTAGCATCCAAAGATCTTATTTGAAAGATAAACATGAATACTCCATTGTGTGAAATCTCATACCAGGAATTTTCACTTGACCATTAATAGTATAACCACCTCCATTCCTGTAAATCAACATAAGCAAAAATAAATAAATAAACAAAAACAAAACAATTCAAATCTAAGAGAACAAGATCGAAATTTATTTTCCATCGTACAATGTAAATGAGTTTTCAGAAGCACATTATGATCAGAATACCTACAAATAAAGATATATTTTAGAGCAGTTATCACATTATAATTTAATACTTATGGGTTTTCACAAACAAATTATAAGATCGTGACCTGACATCAGGTTAATATGTACTTCCACACACACAAACAATATCTATTAACGAGTATAAAGAAACTACAATTTTATAACCTATTCGCATAAATATTCATAGACAATAAGTGTAGAGAAACACATCATTGTTTAAGTGACTTCCCAAATTATAACTCACTTATGTAGACAATTCATACTATTCAGTGCATAGCATATGTATGTGTGAATAGATGGCATGACTAATTAGTGGAATCTAATGTAATGAACATTTAAAGCCTTATGCCTACACAAAAGTGGAGTCTGCCAGGTGTACTGATGCAGGCTTTAGCATGAGTAAAGATTTCATAAGGTCATTGAATCACTATCATCAACTAATGTCCAAATTTCAATAATTCTCCTCCATTTTTGTAGTGGATTTGTAACTTCATACCATATCCTATGATTTGTGAAACTAAATGAATATGATATATGTAATCAAATCCACAACATGCTTCAGCTAGCACTTACCTATCCATTTGTAATTTCTACAATCTTGGTGTAGCAAAAGAAATTTTGTAACAAGGAACAAGGGGAAGGCAATTGTGGGAGTACCAATCTTGAAGAATATGAGACATTGATTTCAGAAGTATAAGAGAGATAAATGAAAGAAATACCACAAAAGATTACTTGAGATTGGGAATTGAACCAAATAACAGTAACTAGAATAATTGAAAAACTTCTGATACATCCTTTACTATGTCAGAATGATATAAGGCTGTAAATAGTATTCCATTCAGCTTAGTTACCGTGCAATCTTCTCTTGATTCAGGAAATTATACATCATCAGATCTCTACTCAGATGAACACCAATAAGCTTAACAATCTAGTAATGGAAAACTCAACCTTAAGTATTCGATACGTCATACGACATCAAGAAATTCAATACTTTAAGATAAAAGAAAATGGCCGACGACATAAGTTCGCCGGAAACTCCCAATCTTAATTAGAGATGTATCAACATAACAAACTTCAATAAAGCAATCGAGTTGCAGAAGGATTAACAACTAAACCACCAGATGACACAGACTCCGTGAATCATGTATCGAACAATAAGATTAGTGATTATGAGACTAGGGCTCCTACAGAAAATTCAAGGAAAAACAAAATAAACGTACCCAGTTGTAATTGCGAGTGAAGAAGAACAGAAAAGAGATAGAAAACACAATTGTACTAGCAGTGAGGATGAAGTCGTTTGGGATCTCCGTAGAACAGCCATGGAGGAAGAGAGAATGAGAGATCCTTAGAAAGTTAAATTCGGCATTCACGATACGGCCTCCATTTTGTACTGCTACCCCTCTGGAGAAAGAAAAAGATATCGAAATATTTAATTAATTTTTATCAACAAAATTAATTTTTGAATTTTAATTAAACTTAATAATTTTATTATCAAATATCAATGGTAAGAAATTAAATTAAATTAAATTGAACTTTTTTTAATCAACATGATGAAGTATATCAAAATAATATTTTTTGTCTCTATAATTTCAAAGTTACAAGATCATCATTATGGTTCATAACAACATTCGAATTTGGTTCCTCGTTTTAATTAGTGTTAAAAATTATGTTAGATGAGGTGTATTTTTTTGTTTTTGATATGAAGGGTATTTTGTTTCATGTTGTTTTTGACTGTTTAAAAATCTAAAAAAATCGATAAAAGAACGAAAATGTTATTCATTTAATGGGAAAAAAATGGATTAAAGGATGAAAATACTTTTCATTTTAGAATTTTTAATGGTCGTTAAAAGGAGGAACGAATCCAATTTTTTTTACAAACCATGATGACGGTCTAGTAATTTTGAAACTACAAGGACGAAACATGTTATTTCCAACAAACCACCAGAACCAAGCCTTTTATTTCGTTCCCTGGAACCAGAGCTAGGATACAGAGCTCAGACACAGAGAAGATCAAAGACCGAAGTCATGCGCCAAGATGCTAAGTGCTCGGATGTAGAGCCTGGATCCTAGACACAGAGCCTCTACATAGTACATGCAGAGTCTCTAGGGGTCATACTTCGCCCGTCTACATGTATGTTCCACGCCCTGTCTCTACATCACAATGGTCTAGTCTCCATCCAACACATATGCAGAAACGGTTAATACTCTCAAGACACGTGGAGGCCGCAGACTGGAAGACGCACTGACTTTCCAAAGATACCATTTCTTGAGGATGTCTTTTCTAAAGGAAAAAAATGTCTATAAAAGGGTAATTTCTCTAAGGGTATCATCACTAATTGGCGATGCGCTCCTACAATGGTTTGAGATAAAATCGCACTTGTAAGAAATTAGCTATTTGAGAGATTTTCTTTTCAAACATGTGTGTGTTCTTGGTATATTCGACTATTCTATTTAGCAATTGAAATACAACCGACTTGACAACTTCCTAAACAATAATTGTTCTTCGTTACTGTGTTATTGTCATTTCGTAGTAACCAATCTAATATTATTGTTGTTTGCTTCCACTCACTCACTTGTTGACTTAAGCATTAATTACTAGTGCATTTGGGGTTTTGGGTTCTTACAATATATATATATATATATATATATATATATATATATAGAGAGAGAGAGAGAGAGAGAGAGAGGGGTACGTTCAAATGAAAACCATGCAATTTTTAGAAACCGTGTAAACTAATTTTGACCAATAGAAAATTTTTATTTTTTTCTAATTAAATTTAATCATTAAAGGTATATTGGTCATTTGCATTGTTTCCTATTAAATATGAAATTTATTAATAAATCTTAATCAAGACAACATAATAAAAGAAATTTTATAAATGGTAACATTTAAATATTTAATTAAATTATAATATTAAAAATTGGATTTTGTTATATTGTGTTTCGATTTATTATTGTCAAGATTCATGAAAATCGTAAGTTATTGGAGTAATAAATCCATGAAAACAGTAGTAGAATAAAAAAAAATATTCATGAAAACGGTTTCATACATGGTGAAATTGGTGCATAGAATAAGTAAAAATAATTATAGAATGAGTGCATAATGAAACCGGTTTCATACATGGTGAAATTGATGCATAAAGTAAGTAAAATTAACTTAAAAGCATCCCATATTTTTCTTCCAACGTCTCATGATTCATCAAGCAATAACTCATATATAAATATTAAAAAAATAATAATGCAAGAGTAAAGAAATAAGTACCCTACGTTTTTTTTTAATATTATGTAACATATTCACTCATATTAATGCACCAGTATGCCCGATCCTAAAGCCCAATAGAATACAACCATTTGGTAAAGACTCCACATAGAATTCAGATAACTGAAACTCCATAAGAACAAGGCAACGATGATTGATTTTCTTTGAAATAAGTAACGAAATAAATTTTATTTTGCTATCTACACAACCTTTCCTTAGTAAAATTTCATAAAAGCTTAATGTAAAAATTGACCTTTCATGATATGTTTGGCCTTTGAATGCAGTGCAAAAGTAACAAAAAAAAGATGTAGAAAGTAAAACACACACACCACAGGTGAGGGCAGAGAAAGAGATAAGTGCAGTGAGTTTGGTTTATGTGTGTATTTCACTTTTAAGATGAGAACACAATACACAAGGCAATCACATTTCAACTTAAAAGTAAATGTTGTTTAAGTGTGTATTTCACTAAATGGACTGTTTAATTATTGAGAAGATGAATCATGAAAAAGCAATATCATGCATACATACCACTGTGCCTTGGCAAACAGCAGGTATAACCTGATATACCCCTGTGATTTTGAAGGTATGTGGATTTCATGAACACAATAACTCTAAGTGTTTATTGACTATACTTATGTGATGTGCATGTGTGTGCGTTTAGATACAGCAGCAACCAAGTGTTTAGATACACACAAAACAGAACACACATCTTTTGGATTGGCCAAAATGTACTATACTGTCTTGTTCTTACTGGTTGTGTTTGTGTGCTTACAGTTTGTGGACAGCATAAGCATCATGGTTAAGAAAACCTCCTTTAGGTCTGTAAGTAATCTTTGAGGATGTGGAGGATGTCATCATGTGAGTAACCAGGCCTGTTACATTTACATTTATAACCACCAGGGATCACCTGCTTTCATATAGCTATGTTAAAAAGAATGGGATTAAGAAATTTAAGATGACACTTGTTGAAGAAGTTTAAGCCCGAAAACAGAGAGGCCTGTTACATTTACATTGTAACAACCAGGGATCACCTGCTTAATAGGAGAGCATTAGCAGGAAAAATAAATGAGAAATATAACTTAAAATAATAAGCTTTTCTAAAGAGAATTAATCAAATGAAGAACATGTAGTCCATACAAGAGTTGAGAAAAATGATTTCAATAGTCTGAGACTTTAGCATATGGCTGTTAGCTTAAAAAGGCAGACTTTATTCAAGTCTCCTGTGTGGCAGAATAAATTATCAAATTCTTATTCAATATTATTATATACCGTTAAGGGTCATTGCCAATAAACAAGGAGAATGGGATGACATTTTAATTTGAATAAGCATTGAGAATAAGTATAAAACCTACTCTAAATTACTGCATTCAAAAGCAAGGAGGGAACATCTACGAGAATAATAAATTCTTCATACAATAGTGTGGTTTGATGCATCTTCCCTGGCTTCTGTCTCTTAGGTTGAGCTTGGATCTCAAAGAGATTGATAGAAGCCACAAAGGCTTTGTTCTCACCATGAATGCTTCCCAGAAAATCCTTTATCCTAAGCTATAAAGATCAGAGCATTTACCTTGTCTACTACATAGACTCTGCCACTAGGGGTGATAGTAAAGATCTAGACTAAAATCATCTTCCAGATTTCCATCTGCCTAAAAGCAGAATTTGTTTTACACAAAAGCAATTGTTAAGTTTATCACCCTTTATTAAGTTTATCAAAGTAAAAGGTATATGTCAAAAACGATCTTAACCCTTCATTAGTTTATAAAAGTAAATAGAATGTACAGAAATGATCTTAAAAGTATTCAAGCATTCATTCATCAATAATAATAACAGCCAAGCACACATCTCACAACTTCAAGCAACTACTTTTAGCTCCATGAGCACAACCCCTGCTCTGTGTGTGTGTATGCATAGATATTAGATTAGAAGCAGAGATCTGGAGTGCTTTCTGATGCGTTGTGAAATGTGTGCAGAATCTGTTTCCTGGTTTGTGGCTTCACTTCATTACTGCTGATTCATACAAAGTATCCATAAGTCCATAACCATTCCAATGCATGTTATGAACTGTTGTGGCTGCCTGCTGGTTCAAACTTATGGTACCAGATCCAAGTTTAAGGTTAGTGCACATAAACAAGGTTGTGGCTGCCTGCTGGTTCAAACTTATGGTATGTGCATATCTACTTGTTTTGCCATATTTCAACAAAACCATTAAGTACTATATATGTGTTCAAATCAATATTGCTCATTTGAGCAGAGTCTCTTTTAGAAAGAACACTACTAAGATAAAGCAACACTGTCGTGAGGTTCTTTGTTTGACAGTGTTGCTTAATCTTATTAGTGAGGTTCTTTGTTCTCCTTTGTACATCTCTATGGAGAGGTTTATGTTTTTCATAATTTTTTTCAAATTGCCTTGGCCAGATGTATGTGTGTGTGTATTGTACTTCAAATAGAAACAAAATGCTGCAGTCAAGTTTTCAACTTTCAAGTTGTGAAATGTGTGCAGAATCTGTTTCCCGATTTGTGGCTTCACTCCATTACTGCTGATTCATACAAAGTATTCGAAGTTTCTACAAAGGTACGTATAAGGTTATCATATATGGTTAGCCATCAACCGTAATGGAACCAACATATAACCTGCTGTATATAACCTGTTGTTTACACCATTTACTGTTTTTGATATCAAATATGGTTAGCCATCAACAGTAAATGGTGTAAACACCCCCCCCCCCAAGCATGTAAACAAGTTGCATCCTCTTATACACACACACACACACACACATCTGGCCTCATGTTTGGGACTGCATCATCTTGTGCAGAAAATAACAACCAAACAGCCCTGTTACATGTGTGTGTATCTAATTGTATCAAATGAAACAGGGCCAAAATGTATTATGTCATAAGCACTAACAGAAGTATTGAATACACAATCGAAGCCAAAAGAACAATACACATACTGACCGATGTATCTGCTGAATTTTGATGGTCATCACAGGCGCTAATGCAGATTGCTTTTCCACCACTAGTACCCCCGTATGATGAAACATATGAGGGATGATGATCTTCCCACTTATAGAATCCTCCCCTGCATATAGAAAATGTGAGGCTTCCTGTTTTCTGAAATCTTGCAACTATTGAAATAGTAGAAACGA